GATTATTTCTGACATATTCTTTTAGAGGAGAGAATGAAATGATTTTTTCTTTTCCACAGCAAATTAGAAAGGAACAAAGATTAGTCCTGTGAAATTAATGAAAAGATTCTGTTTCTGATGACAGTCTTTTGTCATGAGTATAATATAAAGAATAGAAACTGGTACCACTGATCACTTCGGTGTCTGCTGTAATTATCACAGATCTTCTATTCTGTGTGGATTGCTATTGATTCTAAGGAAGACTGAACTGAATTCCTTGGCTCCATTATAATCTGCTTCAACCTCAGAAAGCAGATGTATCCAAAATTGGGACCAACACTTTTCAGAGATTAAAATAAAAAGTCTTGAGAGTTTATCTCATGTTCACATTATAAGGTTGATCATCCAGTTGCTTCTGAGAGATCTTCAGGGAGAGAATTTCTACATTAAAAGGACATTGTTCTAATTACAAAAAATAGTTGCCGATACCAAAATAATCATCATTAAAGTCCAACATTCAGACAGAACCCAGAAAAAGGATACCACTTTAGAAATGTTTTATTACATTGCAGATTTTTTATAGACTGAGACATATTTTAATTATTTTTCTGTTTTATCTTTCCCTCTCATTATTCCCACTGACCTTGTTTTATTTGTTTGCATTATTTCATAACTCTTCTATATAAGTATATGCTTCAACATTTCCCTAGTAAAAATAGCTTTTAATCTAAGTTCATTACTCCTTCTCTTTTACAAGATAGCATAAAGTTTTGTGCAGTGGTGTCTTGCTCCTACATTCTTCCCAGTAACCTCTACCAGTGGCCGTGTGTGATGGCATGTTGAAAACCCATTCAATCCCAGTGTCCTCTCTTTCCCCGGGAACGTGCTATGAAGCATCTTTCCCAACGCAGAACACTTGTTTCCATTTTCAGAATTCACTTGAAGTTCTTAGCCTTATTATTTCTGTGTCCTTTATCTGTGCATTTATGACTTTGATATTGCTTGGCATAGACTTTCCCTTTCTTCAGGTTCTTGGCCTGATTTCTTCCCCTCCCAGGTTTGAACCAATGCCATATTCTATTGGGCATACATGGCCTAAATCAATTGATAACCTTAATCAAATTTTCTCTATTATTTAAATTAGTGTCTGCATTCCCACATGTCAATCTCACACTCTTCTCTATTCCTTGAAGTGACTTCATCACCTGATTTCTAGCAGCCCCCAGTTCCTCCTTAAGATGAACTATTTAGACCTGTGAGGATTACTTGGTAGTCAAATCTTTTTTTTTTTAATTTACAGTCAATATTTTATGTTAGGTTTTAAATATTGATGTATGCTGTCATATAGTTTTTAAACTAATTTGTATGTGTAAGTCTTATTTCCTTCATGACATAGCAAACTCCATAACTTCGGAGACTGTACCACATAATTTTGTACATTATCTCATGCCCCTTAATTCCTAGAATGGCTCAGAAAACAGAAGATGTTCAGTATATGTTTGTTGAATTGTATTATTAGTCTGTCCAGTTAATATATCAGCAGATGTTTACTTGGTTCCTTTCCTTTGCCTAATGCTGTATTTCTTTTCTTGCTTAATGACAATCTAAATACACCCCTCAGAGGCTCCCCGCTTTTTTTAAAGCTGGCAAAGTTGAGGGAGGGTGTACAGTAGAGAATCAGATGAATATCTTTTGTTTTCCATTTAAACTAGAGACAACCCAAGTTATTGAGAGCGAGGAGAAGCTTCAAATCAGAATCACTTAGGCAGGCCCTAGCATTAAAATTACAAAGTGTAACTGCCAAATTTAGGAGCCAAGAGCCTGTAATTTAGATACTGTTCCCAGAGCCAGAGGGATGGAAATCAGAAGGAGAAGCAAAACGAATGTAACTCAAGCTGTGTGGCATCAGATCAGGTGGAGAATGACTCTTCCAGGAAGGCTTCAACAATAATTATGGTACATAACTTCCACAGAAATCAGGTTGGGAAATTCCAATCATGATGATGCGTAGATACAAATGAGCTGAATGATTCCAGAGTCCATGGCTCTTCGCTGGTAGCGAGGCCAATGCCTGTAAGTGCTCAGCTGCTGAATGCATTGCTTCTCGTTTATTCCGTAGGGTTTAATTACTGCACTGTGGACCACAGATGGACTGTGCTCTCACAGGAGGAATGCATTCCACAACAGTTGTTTTTTTTTTTTTGAGTTTTGGATTGTTACAGATGATTCAATCCAGAGAGACTTCATGCTTCCAGTTGGGAGTTGCTTAAGGAAAGGTGTTAGATGCAAGCCAATGATGGAGCTTGATGTGTGCTCCAAGTCAGGAGAGCATTCGAACACACAGAGTGCTAAAAGCCTGTGCTTTTGTTTTTTTCTCTCTCTGATGCGCTTTGAGAATGTAGAAGCTTATTTTGTGGCAGTACCTAATATAATGGCTGATAAATGTTTATTAAACATCCTGGTTATTAATGTTTCTTATTATTTCTGAAGTATTTACTTGAAAAGACATGATAAACTTTCTCTTGTTTAATGTGTTAAATACTCTAGAAAGTAAATATCTTTGTTTGGAAATTCAATTTATTTTCTAAATTTTAAGATAAAAGAAAACTAATTGAAATAACTCAACCACGTAAATCAAATTACCTTGAAATTTAAATCTGATTTTTGAAAAATCCCCGAGTAAACAAAAGATAAAACTCACATGCATAATAAGGTCAAGGATTAGGACAGCCATTTAGTTAATTCAAGCTAAAAACCTCCTTTCCTGTAACTTCAATGAATATTTTAAGCAAAAATAGTAAAGTCTAAATCATCTGGAAAGCTGCCTTAGCTTTTCATGGAACTTTCCATGGATGTAAACACTGGGGATATTACTTTTTCTAAACAGACTCGTAATTTACATTTGAGTATTTGTCACACACTATTACATTTGCAAACTTCTATTTCCAACCTTCTCTTAATTAAGACAGGCCTTCTAGATAGAGGGATTAAGGATTATTTTTTAAAGTAAGGACACGTCTACAGTGACAGGTCACAGATGTGATTTTTAGGCATTATCAACTTAACTTCAGAGATGACATTTTTGGAAGAGTTTGGCTTTTAGCCACTTCATTAAACCTTCTGCTTTTCATGAACACTTTTTGGAAACTGGAAACGATGATGAACTCGTGTCAGATTTAGGGCTACTTAACTCTATTTTTTACTATTTTAAAGCAAGAGATTTGTCACTAGACAAACTTTAATTTCCTTATTGTTCTAAGGTTATTGTATTGATGTACTGCAGTGATTCCCCAAATGGGTTTGTGTCAGAATCACCTGTGATATTTTAAAAGAATGTCCAGCTCAGGTTCCCACTGCAGCCCGGTGAACCTGAGTCTATAGTAAAGTGAGTCTCAGGCATCCATCAGAGTGTGATAAGTTTCTGAAGGTGAGCCCGATGGATGGTAGGGTTTTGAATTTAGGAACACATAGTTAGACCAAACTTGAAGGCATACCCAAGTATTTGTTTCAGCTAATATTTAACTTAAAGATATTTTTTTAGTAATCTTTATATCAACTTGAAATATCTTATAGAAAATGTCATTGTTATTGTGGAATACACAGCTGGTTAAAGATGAATTGGAGGTAGAAACTACATATAAGTTCTCCTGTGGGATTAGGGACAAATTAGAATTTACACATGGTGCCTGAAGATATATAAAACAACAGATTTTCTAAATTTTGCCTCCTTTGAGGTAAAGAAACACAAAAGATAGTCAGAGATTTGATCTATTCAAAATGTCCAGAAAATATAAAGTGCATGTATTCAAATTCTTTCCTTGTGTCCAAACTTTTGGCATCTCTGGGCCACACTGGAAGAAGAAGTGTTGTCTTGGGCCACACATTAAATGCACAAACACTAGTGAAAACTGCAAAAAAAAAAGGTTTTAAGTAAATTTACGATTTTGCATTGGGCCATGTCCTAGCCATCCTGGGCCTCCTGCAGCCCATGGTTTGCACGCCCCTCATAGAGACAGAATGCTAAATACCCTCACGAAGAAGAAATGATCATAGAGGGAAAGTGATATATTTAAAAGTTAATGTGTTTTGAAAACTCACTGCACTGAGAGACTGGATTTTTTTTTTCTAATATGAAGGACAGAAATGTGTATCAGTCACTTATTAAGAGGACAATAAAGTCCTTAGCAGAGTCTGTTTCCTTCTTGGAAAAGCAAGGGGAAGCTACTATGGATTATAACAATGTATTTCAGGGAGCACAGGAATTGCAATAAAGCTGAACTGTTAGTGTGGTGCGACGTGTTTCAGAATGATGATGCTGTCTGACTCCTGTTGCTGATGTCTTCCTGAGAAAGGTACAGGGAATGTTAACTCTTTTTACCATCATCCAAAGAAAGACACTTGCACTCGCTCCCAGTTCGGCCTCCGCCCCTCTCTGTCACCCCTCTGTCTCTGTGTTCTTACTTTATAACACCTCCTTCGATGCTCTTCACTTCAAGCCAGATCCTTTGACCTAAGCTGATTATTGTGGAGGCAGCTAGCTTGTCATGCTTTTCAAGGAAGAGATTTGGCTCCAAATAGGACACTAAGCTTTTCAGCCTTCTGCTTATTTACCTAGTCAGCAGAATGCCATGTCTCTGGGTGCTTAGTGGACCCCTGGGGAATCGAGAGAAACAAAAGCAGAAGTGGCAGCCGCTGCAAATGTGGGAGTCTGTGCCATTAAAGGAAGCAGTTGCTAATAAGGGCCTGTGAGACCCAGGTTTCCTTGGTTTCCATGACAGTTATTAGGTACCATAGAAATTGAATTGTCTCCCACAATGCTCTTAGGGGAGAGGGGGTGCTCCAGTGACAAAGCAGAGCAGTTATGACTTGCAGTAAATCATCCTTTTGAGAGACAACACTCCCTGGATGATTGGTTCTTGCCTTTCTTTTAGACTCCCTTACAGTGTGTTTGACATTTTGGCCAGAGACCCTGGCTTCTGCTGCACAGTGTCTCACACACTATTTTTCCCTTTTTTGTTTAGAACTGAGCTTGGCAAAGCAAGGATATGAACAATTGTGCAGGTGGGCTACTCAGGGCGAGTGAAGAGATAAGGCATCCAATCAGGGACTGGCAACCTGCAGCCCTGCCAGTATGCCCCTCCACCAGATATCCGTAATCCCCGCACGGGAGACCGCCAGCAATGGGCGAAGTTCCATGGGCAGAAACAAAGAGAAGAACAAGGAAGTCGAGGTAAGAGGAGGTTTGATTTAATGAAATAGGACAGCCAAGCCAACTGTAGCCAATGCTGCTCTTTGGCGCCGCAGGATGTGGCTGAGGCTTAAGAGCAGCCAGGCTCCCGCTCTCAGTGTAATAGTGGATTGGAAGAGAGTCATTTATTAACTAACAGGGACACACTCCACGTAACCTCTGTTTTCTGTGTGAACAAAGGAAGCAAACCCATAAGGACACTTACTGCTTGACGGATAAAAACTTTTGCCTCCTTTCCTAAACAGTGCAGAGTTGCCTTGGACATTTATGGCCGATGGGGCACAACCCATCTGTCCTGGGCATCAGCGGACATTGCTGTTGTCCATTTTCAGAAAGTGGGGCAATGGACGTGTGCTCATTTTGCTCGCTACTCATTAAGCTGGAATGTTTCAAAATGACTCTGTTTACAAAGTGACAGAAATCAGAGATACGACAGCTGTGGCACTGAATACATAGCATGAATGGAGATGACATTTCATTGCCTCAGAAGATCTATTGCTCTCCATATTCACTCCCACTGCACCCATGTGTATTACTTTTGTTTGATGTTTCTTTTTTTTTCTTCGTGGAAAAAAAAAACCATTATTTGAAACTTACATGGGCTAGAGAAATATAACATTCAAATTACTGCATTCAGGCTTAATTTTACAGTGAAATTTAGCAGCTGCTGTTCTAAGTTAAACTGCCTGAAAGATCAGATGCTGGGAACTTACTTCAAAGTGTTTTAAGAAAAAGATTGAGCAGATGCAAGGATATTGGGTAAAAATATAAAGTTGTGTTCACTTAAAAGGGAACAAGATGGACCGCCAGATACTGTAATCCTCTTATCTTTTTAATCTAACTACTACCTAGTCCTCAGGTCTTATTAGCTTTGTAGGAAATGAGCCTTTGTACCTCTGGTTCTGTATGTTAATCTTTTTCTGAAGATTAGGTACCAGAGACTGAGGAAGGGGCATAGAAACAAAACAAAAAGGAAGCAAAACTATCAAAGGCAATGGAGAACAGTGTCAAGGTGTACCCGAAAGGAAGAGAGTAATAAACTCAAACACACCTTTACATGAGAACAGACAATTTATGGCCTCTTTGTACTTCATTCGAACTGGTTTTGAAATGTCACCGAAGACCGACAAGATCTTGATGTGTCTAGAATTTGTTCAAAACTTCAGATTTGTCTGACTGATTTAGTGTAAGAGATGCTTTTGCCTGAGTAACTGCTCTGCCATAGGCACATTGGGTATTTCTGGAGTTTCTAAGAATGAAAAATCCTTGTAAAGTCAGAAACTTTATCAGCTAGTTATTCATGGAAAATATTCTCTTAAATATGCCTCCTCTTTGACTTGGTAGTAGGGTTGTTAGGACATCGAAGACTGCTCTGTTGAATTTACTGGATGGGGTGGGAAATAGAGGACACTGACCACTTCTGAGAATAGGATTGGGATCACTAAAAGCAGATTTATAAACATTAGGTATACATTACTGTCCTTACTCATCATCTAGATTCTTTGGATAAATTTTAAGATAATAAATTTTGATGAAATTTCATAAGATGACAATTTCAATATGTAGAATGATTAGCATCTGAATGTTTGGCAATGAAAACACAGTTTTGTTTCCAGATTCCCCACCCTGCCCCACTGCCCAGAAATCTGTTCTCCATATTTCCTTGCAGATGAATCAGATAAAGTTGGGATGGCTGGCTTACCTGACTATTGAAAACATCAAACTAACTTGGCCTTTTTTCTGTGTCAGAAATGATAATGAAATTCTTCTATCTTAAATAAAAATAGCCACAATCTCTATTCAGATATTGATGTTAAATCACATTTTCAGACATCCTCACAAATATTTTAAAGAAGTATCTGTTTATGAACAGCTGCATTTCTTTCAGGGGCAAATACACTTTCGGGTGTCACAAGGCGAATCAGTGGGCATTCTTAAAGGAAAATCAGGTTAAATGCGGGGAAGAAAAGGAAGCTCCCAGCCTGTATGTTATTTTTTAAAAGAGATAGTTCTAAGAAAGAGAAGTGCTTTTTTAGGTTTCAAATACTCAGTTTTCTGTAGACTGGAATTAAATGTTTCTTTTTAAGAGTTTGTTTGAAACATTAAATCTTATCAAAGAGATTATTAAATCTCTTGTTTTGGTGAATTAAACATCTAAAAAGTTATAAACATCATCTTAGATGGTTAAATTAAACAACATATACCAGTGCATTGGAAAGCAAGAAGAATCTGCTCAGGACGAGTGTGGATTCTCTCTAAAGGAAGATAGAACATCGTTTGCACATGTGCATTTTTTTCTGATTGAACAAATGAGACACATTCTCCTTTGAAGTTTCTTTCATGTATTTTGTGTGTCTTAAAGTTGTCAAAATAATACATGCACACATGAGGCAAATGACTGAATTTCAGAATTAAGGATTTGCTAATTTAAATGTGAGCAAATGTAATTTCTTCCATTAGAAACTTAGAGACTCTTGAATGTACTAACCCATAACTTTTATATACCTAGTTTTTTTGTTTTTAAAAGAATATAAAGAAAATATGGAAACTATTAACTATCATAATACTGCAAAATATCTAGGCTGTAAAAATAATATTAAAATTTAAAAAGGTGATAATTTTAACTCCAAGCTGTATAATGAATAAGCACTTGACATATTTTGCATGATATAACATAATTATTTATGTATTTGCCTAATGACACTAGAAGTGCAAAAACAAAATAGCATATTACATCCAGTTTGGATATAGTTGATATTAATGTTTAGAGATTTATCTTGTAGAGGCATCAGCTCTAGAGGTTGCCTGGACAATTAAAAGACAGTTCCTCAGACTTCTATTCCAGAGACAAGCTTTTATTAGCACACCTTTATTATTAGATGATCAACCTCTTGTGAAGTAGATAATCAGAGTTATATAAGAGTTATATATAGTATAGCTGGTCAAGTTTATTAATTTATACCCAGAAATGATGTTTTTTAGTGATGGAATGCTCTAGAAGAGTCCAAGAAAGGACATTAGTAATCAGACTTTCCTTTATAGCATTGGATCAATGAGGGGAATTAAGTGGTTTGGGGTAGGGACAGTTCATCTAGACCTTGGGTAAGCCGCAGCATTGGGAGAACCATGGAGGGAAATAGCTCTCTGAGCAAGTTCGTGGCTCCAGATCGCTCCCTCTCTAGTTGAGTACAGAGACTGATCAGTTTAGTTTCTTTAAATCTCATTTGCCTACTTTGTTAGTGGGCCACTTTGCTTCTATTAATCCATTTTTTCTGCTTTTTCTAGATTTGTTAACACCACTTATTAGGTTGCAATTAATTCACACTGGGGATTCAGGCCTGTAAGACATCTGTCTCTTACAATAGTAATCAAATTCTTAGAACTCTCACGGTAACTAATTTCACACTCTGTAAACGGACATTATGATTGTGTAAGTTTCAGTATTTTGTCAACCTGAGCACATATTTCTTATAACTCTCTGGGATTTATGAGCAGTTGTTTTTAAGTCCTGCTGTATTTCAAACATAGAGGTGAACCATGGATCCAACCAAGGGTGCTACTATGACTTCACTGGACGCTGCCATTCGCTGTGAGCACAGAGCTGGGAGTTAGACATTGGGAGTGACATCAGAGGAGAGAATAGGCCATGAACCCTCTCCCCCGACTCTTTCCTCACCCACAAGCTGACCACGCATGCGGACCATGCTTGAGAAGGTCTTTTTCTCTGGGGACGAGAGAGGGAAGAAAAAGAAAAAAATCCACTTTTGTTTATATGTGCATTTTTCCTTTACTGCTTCCATGATATTTTATGATGTTTCTTTACTTCCATTTTTCCTCTTTTTTTTTTTTTTAAAAAAGAATCTTAACTCTCCTTTTGTTTTTCCGGGATAATCCCTTGCAAGGTCTTCTGATTGCTTCCCAATGATATCCCAATGGGCCACCTTTCCTTACAGGGGCTGCTGATCTGTTCATTGGCAATCCTTTCATGAACTCCAGTGACTGGAACAAAATATGGCTGTTTGATATATATTCTTCATTTTAAACATAGTGGGTAAATGATAGATTTATTAATTCTACTTTTTAGGAGAAAGTCATAAAAGCTAAGTAACATATTTAATCTCAGGGACAGAGCCTAATGTGAGATTAGCCCATCTAATTTCAAGTTCTATGTGTTTTTTTACAATTAAGGTACTATAATCTTTTCACATTTCTAGAGAAAAACTTATAGAAGCAAAGGATCTCAAAAGCAGAAAGTCCTTTAAGAAGGCTTTATCTTAATTCCACGGTTGAAACCCGTAGACAATAAATAACTTGCTGGCGTGCTGCCACTGTTTAGTGATAAAGGTGGGAGAAAAAACACAGGCCTACTGGCTGTCAGTCTAGTGCTCTTTCTACTACTGTTGCATCTGGTAAGTGTTTTGCAAGGAACAGAATTACAATCCCAAAACTTAAAAGGGCTGTATAACCCTCAAAACTGCTCACCTTTCAATGGTGGACTTTGGATTTCTTATTGTGTTACGGTTATCTGCCCATGACTCATAAAGTGAGGTGGGAATAAAATGGGTTCTATTTATAGAACATAACTAGAATTAATTTCATTATAACTTAGAAAATAAGGTAAAATGAAATAACAGTGGACAAAAGCGTTCAAGGAGATAGCTGGATTGAGTGAGATTCAGGATACCTGAGATGGGGCCTTGGCCTCCCCAAAGCATTTTCACCTTGAGTAAGTCACCTAACCTCTCCAGCTTGTCCTCTAAAGAAAATGTGTCTTTGAGAGTAAATGTAGAAAATAACTAATATTTACTACTATATCTCATTTCAAAAATAAGAGCATTTTGTTTTCTTCTGTTCCTCCTTTAACAAAATCATGTGGTCATGCTCACTCAGTGTGCAAAGGCCATGACTATCTTCAAAGGCACACAGTAGGTCCTGGAATAACATCATTTCATTCAGTGTCATTTTGTTGTAACACTGATGAG